CCAGGGGTCCTCAAACTACGGCCCTCGGGCCATATGCAAATACAAATATTGTATTTGTTCCCGTTTTGTTTTTTTACTTCAAAATAAGATATGTGCAGTGTGCATAGGAATTTGTTCATAGTTTTTTTTTAAACTATAGTCCGGCCCTCCAATGGTCTGAGGGACAGTGAACTGGCCCCCTGTTTAAAAAGTTTGAGGACCCCTGCACTAAACCATCAAGAAGAATGGTTTACTGTGCAGAATATCCTTGCAATCTCGGTATCTATTTTGTCATGGTTTTGTCTCGTGTATAGTGATAGAATCATTTGGTGTTTCATTTTTTTCTGGTAAAAGCATGGTGACCTCGTATCTTTGAAGCTAAATTCTGTGGGTGCTCATATATACACACAAACGTGCTCACATCCACATTTGGTTTTATTTGTGCTTATATTCTCACTGGTTTCCTGGAATTTAAAACAGTCCATCTCCTTTGCTCACTCTGATATTGATAAGTGTAGACAGTGTCAGCAGTGCCGTGGTCTGTGCACAGAGGTGAGCATCACCTCTCCTTAACCTGCGAGTTTCTAAGACAAGCTGGCTTTGCTGCAGCGGGAACACACGGACACCCTGCGCCACCTGAACCTGATGCTGATGTTCACGGAGTGTGTGCTGGACCTGACAGCGGCGCGGGGCGGCCTCCCGGAGCTGTGCTCGTCCGCCGTCTCCTTGTACCAGGTCCAGGAGAGCGTGCTTGTGGACCAGATCAGCCAGCTGAGCAAGGACTGGGGGTAGGTGCCCTTTGCATTCATTTCCATGTTCTTGATGCTTCTGTAGTCCTGTCTGAGAGGGAGGCCTGTCGTCGCTGAAGGTCCCGTCTCGCTGCTCAGGCTTCGGGAAGGCCCTGAGTTACCCCGTCCTGCTGGATTCACTGCATGAGCCCAGGCTGGAGGCTCTGCACCCTTCGTGTCCCTTCTCCCTGTAGATTACATTGGTGAAGGTACTGATGATACAGCGATCGCACTGATTTTTATCCGAGTGCATCGTTGTGTTCAAAGTACACACATCTTTCTCCATGCCGACTTGGCCCTTCGGAGTCATTTGTGCATTAAAAATATCCCGGCGCGTGCCCTTCCCGTGGAGGGCTGTTGTCATGGTGCTGGGACGTGCAGAGCCGCGTCTGGCGGTGGCTCGCAGGCTAACGCTCACTTGCTGCCTTCTGTGCAGGCGGGTGGAGCAGCTGGTGTTGTACATGAAAGCGGCCCAGCTGCTGGCGGCGTCGCTGCATCTTGCTAAAGCCCAGATCAAGGCCGGGAAGTTGAGTCCGTCCTCGGCAGTGAAACAAGGTATGGGTGGCGTGCCGGGGCTGCCCTCCCCATGACTCCAGCCAGGTTTTGGGTGAGGAATCAATTATTAAATATTCTTACATGGCAGAAGGTGCCAGCTTTTCTGTGTTTTGTTTTTGCCACTTAACTGATACGGAGAGCAGTCAGAAGCACTTTATCTCAGTCCTCTCACGGAAAGAGAGCATATGAACCTTTCAGTCATTTTTTAAATGATTGTTTAGTGTTACTTTCCTCAAATCAGCAGGACAGGTGCATGTCACTGCGATTTTATCTCTGGAGGAAAATTAAAATTCATTCTCTTTTTCAGTTGTCAAAAATATGAATGAACGATACAAATTGTGCATCACCATGTGCAAGAAACTTACAGAGAAGCTGAATCGCTTCTTCTCCGACAAACAGAGGTTTATCGATGAAGTGAACAGCGTCACTGCAGAGAAGCTCATCTATAGCTGCGCTGTACAGATGGTAAGCCTCGCACGCTCACTGCGTGTGCTCTCGTCTGGAAGAGGATCTCTTTTGTTTTAAATATATTTTTATTGATTTCAGAGAGGAAGGGAAAGGAAGAGCGAGAGAGAAACATCAGTGATGAGAGGGAATCATTGATTGGCTGCCTCCTGCACTGGGGACGGAGCCTTGCAATCCGGGCATGTGCCCTTGACCAAAATCGAACCCGGGACCCTTGAGTCCGCAGGCCAACGCTCTATCCACTGAGCCAAACAGGCCAGGGCTGGAAAAGGATCTTCTGAATCGAATACCTGCTTGACATTGCCCAGTGGTCGGCAAACCGCGGCTCTCGAGCCACATGCGGCTCTTTGGCCCCTTGAGTGTGGCTCTTCCACAAAATACCACGTGCAGGCGTGCACTGTACAGTGCGATTGAAACTTCGTGGCCCATGCGCAGAAGTCGGTTTTCAGAAAGGAGATAGACGAAACAAGTATACAAGACACGTGTGGATGGGAGAGTTGGAAGGGGTCGACTCAGCGAACGTACCTCAATCAGATTGAGGACGTTTTTAGCAAAGGCCAGCTTATGAGTACCTTCATTAAGTTAATAACAGTGTACCTCTCTATATAGTTTAAGTTTAAAAAATTTGGCTCTCAAAAGAAATTTCAATCGTTGTATTGTTTATATTTGGCTCTGTTGACTAATGAGTTTGACGACCACTGATCTAGCCCTTTAAAAAGGGTTGATGCCTCACACTGCCAAGTCCCAAATATTGTGTTCACCTCTTAGTAACCTTGGACTTAACGTTGAAGTAACACATTAAGTCAGGTTGGTTACCACATTTGGTAACATTCCACGATTCCTCTTTAAAATTGCTAATAGCAGGATCTGGTCACCCACAGTTTGCATCCTGAGGCTTTAGTGGATCTGTGTCTGCATTTTCCTCAGTATAAGAAACTGTGGCTTGATAAAGATTAGAAAAAATACTGCTGTTAATCCACAGAAATTCATGTGCTCAGATTCCTTAAGTGTAGACACAAAGTAAAATCTGCTTTGCAGTTGGGAAGAATTTGTCTTCAGACTCATGGGGCAAATTGCTCTAAAGTGCAGATGAAATTAGGGACTGTGAAAGGATAGCGGTAAACCTGGCTGCCGTGGCTCAGTGGTTGAAACCAGGAGGTGACGGTTCGATTCCTGATTAGGGCATATGCCTGGGTTGCAGGCTCCATCCCCAGTAGCGGGTGTGCAGGAGGAAGCCAGTCAATGATTCTCTCATCATTGATGTTTCTCTCTCTCTCTCTTTCTCTCCCTTCCTCTCTGAAATCAATAAAAATATAGTTACAGTGGGGAAAAATTGATTGTTGACTGAGCTTATTTTTACCACATTAACATAATAGACCTCCATTCTTCCCCTCAAATTTGTTTACTTTGCATTGCACTGTTATAGTACACCCTTGGACTTAATTTTGAAAGCCATTATAATAAAAAGTCCTACGAAAATAACTTTTGAATATAAACTGTTGACACGAATAACATGCATTGCATCACTCTCTGCTGAATTAAGATTCGCACGATAGTTTCTTATAGAAGTTGTGCCAGGGAAGTGCCCTCTCAGAGGGAATTGTGCTCCTTCTCTTCTGATAATAAGAGCCATGTGACTTCAACAAGCCCCTCCCTTTGCCCTGGCTGCTTAGCAAGCTTAGAGCTATTACCATGTATTTCTTCTTCCTTTTCTGGGCTCTGATTTTCTGTATGCGTTGTATTTATCTTACTGTGAGTGGCTTTCAGTTATGTTTTGATGGGGACAGTGCATATTGACAAGTAAATGAGGATACTGGGTTACTGACAGTCCAGGCGTTTAATAATGAGAGAGAAAACGCACAACCGGTGAATAATTCTGCTGTCCCCTATTTATGGCAAGGCCCTACTCCCTGTCCCCGTCACCTGGCTGACTCCTGCTTCGCTGTGACTTGGCCTGAGCATCACATCATGGCAGCTTGCCCTGACCTCTTCCTCCTGTAGTCATGTGGGGTGCACTTCATACGTGTCCTGTGCCACCTGGGGCTTCCTCCGAGAACACCACGTATCCTGGGAATCGGAATGGCATGTCCTGCAGGCCTCTGTCCCAGAGCAGGAGCTCTTCCTCCCCGCGTGCCCAGTGCCTGGCACTTAGTGGGTGTGCTAGGGTCCTTTCGCAGCTGCAAGGGTTCAGGGATCTGGAAGGGGCTGCGATGTAAATGAATAGAAACTAGACACGAAATATAAATTTGGAAGGCATGGGGGAGCTAGGGGAGGCTCCACTTTCTAGTGACGTGGGCTCCCTGAATCTCCAGACCCAGGGCTTTTTATTCACACATTTTGCAGTCTAACAAAGCAGATATACATATCACAGTTAAGGCCTGGTAAACAATAAAGGACCATCAGGTTGGGGGACTGCCTTCGGCTGTTCCAGCAGCAGGTAATAACAGGCAGATTTTCAGCCCTGCTGAGAGTCCATTCAACCTCTTGAGGACTTCTGCCTTTACTGTGACCCGCTGGACTTAGCCTCAGCATGGGCGCTCAAATGGTCTCTGAAGAAACTAGTGACTCTGCCAGATCATCGTTTAACTGAAAGAGAAGGCTGAGAAATGACTTCCAACATGATTTATTTTATTATAACAATCTACTTTAATGAAATGCCAGGCTGTCCTAGTGTGAACGTGTATATTTAAAATAAACTCTGCAGTGACGTCGAAGAAGGACCAGTTTGGAAGTGCAGATTCCTGTGAGTCACGAATGTCTGAGGACAAGGAGGCTGTGTTTGCAGAATAACTCGTCAGGAAACTCCTTTTGTTTTTAGAGAGTGGAAGAGAGAGGGAAAGTCATGGAGAAGCATCGATGTGAGAGAAACACGTCCATCGGTTGCCTCCTACACCAGCCCCAACCAGGGCCCGGGCCAAGGAGGAGCCTGCGACCAAGGTGCATGCCCTTGACTGGAATCAAACCCGGGGCCCTTCAGTCCGTAGGCCGACGCTCTATCCACTGAGCCATACCAGCTAGAGCAGGAAGCTTCTTTTTGATATTGCTCACCTGATGAGTCTTTGAAGCTTTCCGTGGTTCGGTAGATGGTACTAATTTTAGATAGCCCCTTGGAGCCACATGCCCAGACGGGGGTACATTGTCTGGGGAAAGCTGACTCTCCTGGTCTTGTTGCTGCGCAGGTGCAGTCTGCGGCCCTGGACGAGATGTTCCAGCAGACGGAGGACATTGCGTACCGCTATCACAAGGCGGCCCTCCTCCTCGAAGGCCTGACCAAGATTCTCCAGGACCCTGCGGACGTGGAAAATGTGCAGAAGTGTAAGTGCCTTAGGCAGGGGTGCGCCTCCCGGGCCCATGAGGAAGGGCTTAGAGTTTGGAGTCATGCTGCCTGGGTTTGAGTGGTGGTTTTCCACTCGTGGGCAAATCACTGCCTTTCTGTGGCCTCAGTTCCTCCTGGAAGATAAAGGAGCAGAGTTGTGAGGCTCAGAGACGATGCTTGTGAAGAGCTGATGCTTCTGCCGTTACCCTGGGTCTCCCCTCCGTATTGCTGAGCTGGTGGGCGTGTGTCTGTGTGTGCAGAACACTGTTTTCATTATTAAATAATAACACATGCAATTATTTCAAGCCTCGTGGGCTTAGTGACTGAAGAATCCTAAGACCCTATGTACTGCATATTTGGTGTAGATAGCAGAGTGGAGGCTGGTAGGATGCCAGGATGCCAGCATGTGTCACTTGTCAAATACAAGCGCAGTGACCTGGGTTCTGAAGCGGAGGTGGGCCCACTGGGGTGCATGTGGTCAAACCACATTTTGAGGAGCTACAAGGGATGGAAGTTCTAAAAATTATTTGCAGTCGTGAGCAAGCTCACTGTTAAAATCTAAATGTTCTTTATTTAACATGCTAATCTAAACTTTACCAATGTGCAGTACTAAACTACAAATCATATCCGAACAGTTAGCAGGCAGAAAGAAGAAAACGTATTCAGAATTGCTAACCTTGCGCTAAAACAGAACAGAGATGAGGATGTGGGTAGAGTGTTAGTGATTTTTTATTAGTTTTCCTTTCCTTGGTTTTGAAAATATAAATGATCTTCATTGTGACTTACTTTGTTTTGTTTCTAGATAAATCTAGTATTGAAAGAAGGTTGTCGGCGCTCTGCGGCAGCTCTCCCACGCCCTGAGGAGCAGCAGGTGTCCTGGGCCGGTCTGCTGCCTGGTCACTACCAAAGAACGAGCAGTGATTTCAAAACAAAAACTACATGTTTGTAGGAAACCTGCCTTATTGGAAAGTCACCCCTTTCCTTTTTCTTTGTAGAAGCAGAAGCAAGAGTATGTCGCTTGGCTCTGTGTGAACTTGGTAAATAAATGTACCTTAGAGCTAGAATCACTAGTTCATTTATTCTTAAGGACAATTAAGGAAACAAAATGAGTCGCTCTTCGCTAGCTCACCAGAGCAGTGTGTGGAATTCCACGTGTCTGCTGAGTGTAAAGTAAACAGCGACATCTGGTCCAGGCAGCTTGGTCCTGGGGGTATGTTGTCTAAGTCTGAGCATGACCCTTACACAGCTCAGGAAGAAACAGCTTAAGGAGACGGGAAAGATGGCAGTTAAAAGGAATTGTGAAATCTTCAATTTGATCTAATATGGACTCTTGTTATTGTTAATCTTCCCAAATCTTTCATATATTGCACTAATTTATTAAAACAACTCTGTATTGGATTTTGCAATTTAAAACTAACTGAGGCACAATGGACTTGTTTGAAAAATACTTTACTTGATTGTCTACACACACCCTTTTCAGCATCACACGTAGTCGCTAGTAGGCTTTTCAGTGGTAAGAGCCTGTGTTCGGGTGACCCTTTGCGTTTGTCTAACCTCTTCATCTGCACCCCCAGGTTTTCTCAGCGATGTTTTTGAGCTGCAGCTGTTGGCCTTGGTTGCATTCTTTATTGTGCATGTGGATGTGCATTGATGGCTGGGACTTCTTGGCTTCTTAACAGCTGGTTTATTTGGGCAGTATTAGAAAAAAATGTCAATCAAGGGATACCCGCTAGAATTCTAATAGGGCCAAGTCATGTTGGGATCTAAAGGCTTGTTAATGATGGGGAGTGCCTACATGAAATTAGTGAGAAGTGAGGTTTGTTTTCTCTTAGGAAAGTGGCAGCTCTCTAGCCTAATACGTGTTTTTCATGTTAATCCTGACAGGTTACCAAATAGCTGGTTATGGAGAAGGTGGGCAGTTAACATCACTCCAGAAATGGTTCCTACCTTGTACATTATTTGGTTTCTTTTATTTACCTGCTTGAATACTTGAATAAACCACTCTCCAGTTTTAGTCCTTTTATTTTAATCCTTTTAGATAATAAATTTGAACTGACAAATTGCACAGAAGCTCGTTGGCATTAATCTAATTTAGTGACATGATAAAAACATAAACAAGGCTTCCCTTTACTTTGACAAAGTAATGTAATTTACCTTATTTATCTGTATGAAATTCCAGCAGTTAATTTGAACACTTATTTATATGATGTTTGTATTCTTAGGTCTTTAATACAGTGTTTCTACCTCTCATTTGTAATTGCATGCATTATTCTTGAAACTAGGTAAAAATCACTGAATTGTTGTATAATAAATAGCCTTTTTATTATTGCCTGTACAGATGTAAATTAAGGTAAAATAAACCGGACAAAGTCTTTCTAGGGTAAAGCTGGGTCCGTTTTACGTGGCTGTTCGAGCCAGGTCCTCACTCAGTGAGCGCGGAGGCTCGGTCATGGGTACCCTGTGCCCTGCCCCAGGATTTCAAGCTCGGGGTCTGTCACGTGGCTGCCAGGAACACAGACTGGAGAAGGACGCTGCCCCTCCCAGGGCTCGAGGCACCAGTGTGAGCGATGTTCCTTTTGTGGGGTTTGGAAGTTACAGGGTGGTTCTCACCGTGCTTTCCCAGCGGACCCTCTGAGGGGCGGGTCATTCCCCGCCTTTCTCTCCAGCGTTTTTTGATCACAGGATGAAACAGGTTCACAGCGAGCAAATGGTTGGTCTGAGGTTGGATCACTAAGAAGGGGCTTCCATGTTCTCTCATCCTCTTGTGTAACGAAGGTTTATGGGAGGTAGTATTTGTGAAACTGAAGTCTGAGCAGCAGAGAAGATCAAACTGTAAAATCATGAATAATGGTTCTGATTATATTTCCATTATCAAGGCTAATTGTTTTAAGAGATTTTTGCCTTGATTATAGCAATAATAAACAAAGACTTTGTTTCCATGAGTATTCTTTAATTTCATGTCATCTATTTCATGACGTAGAAATTGACAGCGTGTACATTCATGGTTGACACGTATATTCGGGCCATGAACTGGAAAGCTGTTGACCACACACATGTAAATCAGAGAGTTGCTAATGGGCTCTTCCTTCTGTGAGAACTTGCCTTTACGCCCTGGGCTGGACCCGATGGTTCCCACAGTCACATGCTCCCTTCTCCCCACCAAGAGGGATCAGCAGAGCAGCCAGTCGGAGAACGATCTGTTTTTTGTGTGTGTGAGGCCAGGCCTGGGTTTGGGGCTCCTGGAACACAGTACTCCAGACAGTTTCTGAAAGGTCTCAGCTTCTTGCCCTGGCGGGTGGCTCAGTTACTCAGGCCGTCGTCCCTGCACCAAAAGGTTGCCAGTTCGATTCCCGATCAGGGAGCATACCTTGGTTGTAGGTTTGACACCCGATTGGTCAGTGGGTCGGGGTGCAAACTGGAGGCAATGGAACGATGTTTCTCCCTCCCTCCTAGCCCTTCTCTCTCATATCAATAAACATCTCCTTAGGTGAGGATTTAAAAGAAAAAGGACAGAGCATCTTCCCCAGCGATCCCACCCGGCACCCTGCTTTCAAGGTGTCCTTTAATGACCCTTAGGTCAACCTGGCAGTTTTAAAGAAATGTTTGTATCTAATCTTTATTACTTTACTGGATTCTCATACTAACCCTTAGTTCCCTTTACAAATGGGAAAACGGACTTGGGGAGTGGTTTTCCCATGACCAGGTGATGGCAGGCTCTGCACAGCGCCCAGGTCCATACCCGCGCCCCTGACCCCCTCCCGGAGGCGCACCAGGCGGGGAGTGGCGGGGAAGGCAGTCAACCGTTTGGTCCATGCCCTGCTGGAGCCTCCGCCCTCCGCCTCGCAGAAGCAGGCATTTAGAGGCGCAGGTGAAGTCAGAAACCACCCTGCACCCTGCACGGGCCTCTGGGGCTCGTAATAAACTCGAGGATTTGATTGGCCCGCTTCCCGGTTCCAGGGAAGTTGAATAGCAGGGGGTGGGTCCAACCCCAGGCGGGGAGCCTGGACCAGTGCGCGGGGACTCCCAGGCCCTGCTGCCTGACCAGCTCTCCCCGCTGGCGCTGGCGGGAGACTCAGACCCTTCCCGGACGCTCCTCCGTCTGCCTTGCCTGCGCCCTCACCATCTCCCGGCACTGACACGTGGACTTTGCAGCACCAAGTCCCAGTGCCTTGCTGTGGGGCTGATTCTCCATAAACATTTTAGTTCTCTCTCTTTTCTGTGTTTGAAGTAGGAAATGAATGGATATTTTAACCCTGTGTGTGTGTGTCAGTTGAGAGCAATTATTTCCTGAGGTCGTAAGTCTCTTGATCCCCACAGCCACCGTGTCAGCAGCAGGCCCCTCCGCAGGGCCGTGGAGAAGGCCCCGCGAGCTGGATCAGGTCACCCCGGCCCAACTGTGGCCCTGGTGGCCCCACCTGCCCAGATGAGAGCGGCACCCAGGTCCCACCGGGCAAGTCCCGCCACCCACTGACAGAGGGCGCCCACCCCCCAGGAATGACCTTAAAACCTCAGGGAAGCCCTGGCCAGTTGCTCAGTGGATAGAGTGTCGACCTGTGGACTGAAGGGTCCCAGGTTCGATTCTGGTCAAGGGCACATGTCTGGGTTTCGGGCTTGGTCCCCAGTGGCGGGGGTGCAAGAGGCAACCAATCGATGATTCTCTCTCCCCTTCTCCCTTCATCTCTGAAATCAATAAAAATATATTAAAACAAAATAAAACAAAACAAAAAACCCCAGGGAAGGCATGCGAGCTCCCACAGATCCCAGCTCCCTTAGTGCCCACCTGGCCCCAGAAGCCTCGCCCTTCCTGAGGGCAGTGAGCTGGGTCCTCAGTGCCTCTTCCCCGCGGAAACGGCGCCTCCTGGGCTGGGCCGATCAGCCGCTCCCTGAGCAGGGAGGGAGCGGGGCTGGCCCAGAGGAGCAGGAGGCCGGTCCCCAGGGTGCCCTACAGCGCCCTCCCACTCTGCCTCCCAGGGGCCCTCGTCCTCAGCCAGGCAGGGGATGCTTTTGTGTTGAGGGCAGCCCTGGGCGATGAGAAAGGCAAAAAAACAATCCCGGGTTGCGCCATAATTGGATTTAGGAGTGAAGGCCTGGAATTGAGGGAAGGGGGTTGGTGTGAGGCAAGGTCTAGGGCAGCACACCCTCCCCTGGAGATGCTTCCTACCCCAGAGGCTGATGGGAAATCTCAAGGAACTGTGATGTCAGCCTTAAGTCTGCTTCACTCATACATTCAAACTGTTCAGCACCAACTCCGCTAACCCCCGGGGGACCGCCGTGAGCAGGAGGCATGGCCCTGACCTCCTGGGACATCGCTTTAGAGAAGACCTAGGTAACCACAACATGGTGGTTGGATTAATACCAAAGAGAGATGGGTGATGTTATTGTTTCGGGAACTGTGGTGGGGGAATGGGACCAGTCAAGAAAGTCAGGAAAGGAGAAGCGGTCATTAACCAGGTTAAGAAAGGAGAGGAGAGTGTTCTAAGAGAAGGACTAGCATGTGCCAAGGCCTGTGGTGGGGGACATGCAGCGATTAAGGTGATAAAGATATACAGAGCCAGTCTATCCCAGCAGTTTTGATTTCTGCAGTGCAGTGATCAGTGTCCGAAATGATCTGGCTTATATTTTTACTTGTTTATTATCTACTCACCTCAATAAATGGTCAGCTTTCTGTAGCCGGGAACCTTACTGTCTTGTTACTTGTGTCCCTAACACCGAGAACAGTGCTTGGCAAATAGTAGGTGCTTGTTTTGTGCTGGTCTCCCTGTCAACAACCAGTGTTGTGGTTGGACCTCTTTTTGGTTCTTACTATGTTTGCAAGATGCTCTTCAGCAATAATCATCAGGAAACAGCGAAGATAAAGGTCTGTTACCTACAGAACCTGGACATCCACAACTGGAGCCCAAGGCAAGGTGGTGGGGGACAGCACGAGCACCAATGCCTGGGGTTCTGGACTTATTGGGGTTGCAGGGGGTAGGGTTTCAGGTCTCACTCTTTATTGGTGTATCCTATATAATAAAAGCCTAATATGCTAAGTGTCTGGTCATCCGGTCGTCCATTCAACCAATGAAAGCATAATATGCTAATGATATGCTAAGGCCGCTCAACCACACTGACCAGGGGGCAGATGCTCTGACCGGTAGTTTAGCTTGCTGCTGGGTTCCAGCCAATCAGGACTGAGCGAGACAGGCCAGACATGCCCTGGAACCCTCCCACAGTCCCTCCCCAGCCTCGATCATGCACCGGTGGGGTCCCTCGGCCTGGCCTTCGCCCTCTCCCAATCCAGGACCCCTCAGGGGATGTCGGAGAGCTGGTTTCGGCCCGATCCCGCAGGACAGGCCAAGGGACCCCACTGGTACATGAATTCATGCACTGGGCCTCTAGTTTAAACATAAGAACAGGAATTTAAAGCACAGGAAGTGCTCTGGCTGGTTTGGCTCAGTAATTACAGCATCAGTCCTTGGACCAAAGGGTTTCTGGTTCGATTCCTGGTCAAGGTCATGTACCTCTGTTGTAGATTCCTCAGCCCCAGTAGGCTCACATCGATGTTTCTCTCTCTCCCCCTCCTACCTCCCTTCCACTCTTTCTAGAAATCAATGGGAAGAATATCCTCAGTTGAGGATTAAAAAAAAAAAAAAAAAAAAAAAGCACAGGAAGTGAAAGAGATAATTGGCCCAAATGGTCAGTTATTGAAATCAACCTAAATTTCTAAAACAAAGGAGCCTCAGTGCAGGGAGGTGGCCTGGCTCCTGTCATGGCCACAGTGTGTATTGAAGTGGTTGCCTCTGCGATCAAAGCCTAAATCAGGCACTGGCATCACAAAAGAGAAAGAAAAAACCTACACTCAGGGCTTACACTAGGGTCCAGTGAACATCTGTGGACGACGATGGCTGACCTACAATGTATGCATTCTCTGTGCCAGCCACGCTTCTAAGAATCTTATCTACACGGGCTCAGCCCCCTGCGAGGCAGCTAGAGCTCAGAGCAGCTGCGGAGCTTGCTGAGCTCTCACAGGCAGTGAGTGCCTGAGTCAGGAGTTGGCCTCAGGCAGCTGCCTCTAGAGCAGTGGTTCTCAACCTGTGGGTCTCGACCCCTTTGGCGGTCGAACGACCCTTTCACAGGGGTCGCCTAAATACATCCTGCATATCAGATATTTACATTACGATTCGTAACAGTAGCAACATTACAGTTATGAAGTAGCAACGAAAATAATTTTATGGTTGGGGGTCACCACAACATGAGGAACTGTATTAAAGTTCGTGGCATTAGGAAGGTTGAGAACCACTGCTCTGGAGACTCTGGCCTTACACACCATCCCAAAATTCACAGGAAGCTAATGAATCTGCTTATGTCCATACACTGTTGTAAGCATGCCTGTGCCCGTGTGAGCGAGGACCCGCTGTGCCGGGATGGAACATGCGCTCCCAGCACTGGGCCTGCACGTTGGAGGGTCTGGGTGCAAAGTGAGAGGGGGTGGCCTGTGAGGCAGGTCATCTGGCAGCCATTACAGGCTTTTAGCAGAGGCTGTGGCCTGACTGAACTGGAGGTTGGAGAAAAGATTGATACAGGGACACCAGCTGAAACCTATTCAAATGAGAGAGATGAATGGTTTTGTCCACGAAAGAATGTCCAGCCTATAGAAAAGTTTGATAAGAGTTTATTTGAGCAAAAACTTTGAGAACATGCTGGAAGCAAAATATTAACAGATTGAGAAAATGCTCTGGAGAATGGCAGTTTTGAAGCTCATTTTATACATTAGAATCAAGAGAGAAGGTGTAGGAGGATCACATGCAACCCATTAAGGGGATGGGGGAAAACACAGTGGGGAAATCTCTAGTGTTGGATAAAAAGCAAAATGGAGGGTGCAGCCGGCATGGCTCAGTGCTTGCACATCGAAGGTCAGGGTTCTATTCCTGGTCAGGGCACATGCCCAGGTTCCTGGCTCCGT